GTACATATAGTTCCAATTTACCCTGAACTGGAACAGATACCATCTTTTAATTCTTCTGAGCACAAATTTAACCGTATTCTGGTTCTGATTTAAATGTGCCCATCAGCAGACCTAAAACATGCACAGAATTTGTTACTACACCCAGCATCAGACAAAAGCAGTTTACAATAAGCACTGAGTTCCCCTTGCTTGCAGTTTGCTGTCACCACATGCTTTATTTATAGTAGGCCTGAAATAAATACTGCAGGATCAGCCATCTTTTGGTGCTGCACAAAAAAGGAAAGCTATTAAATATTTACCATAAGTCTCTCCTAGCCTTGCCTCTGACACTTTCTCTTTCAGTAGAGAAAAGAATTATTTAGCTCATGATTTTCCAGCAAAAGACAGCCAATTGTGACTGTCTGGAAGCAAAGGGTAGCATCACTGGCATGCCCTGGGAGGGGGAAGTTCTGTCAATGTGCACCCAGCACAGAAGTCTCCACCTCTCCTGCTCCTCTCCAGCAGCACAGAGTGACACCAAAGTGGAGCCTTAGAGTGACACAGGAATGTTTGTGCCAGCAGAATGAGGCACACTCATGTTACAGCACTTTCCAAAACTAAGCCAGTACATTTGGTGAATCCTTTCCAAGGAGGCTGATCAGATTACTTGAGTTATGTTGTGGAAGCTCCAGTGAAACATGTTGACAAATAATGCTGCTCTCTTTTTGTACTTACTGTGCATTTAAGAAAAAAAACTGTTTGTATGAAATAAAAATAGACTTTGCATGCATTTTGTTTTTCACTGTGAACTGAATACTGCACAATCCAATGTTTATGGCCTAATATCTCTGGGACAGATAGACAATTAAAGATGAACTTTGACTGGCCTAGAATTAAAATGCCTGAGGGCAGCTGTGTAGCTCAAGTAACTGATTAGAAACTGATACTGAAAAATTACTGAGAACTGAACTCCAGGAGGTCACAAAAAGACTAAAAGCAAAGCAATGTCTTTTTTCCACCCCAACCCAGGCCATTATAGAGTATGATCATAGTCTTCCACAGCACAGTCCAGCAGAACCAGCACCAATCCCCGCTCAGTACACCTACAGCTATGCAGGTTTCCAAGGAATAAGCTGCATCTATAGAGGTATGTAACACTTAAGAATATCAGTCTGGTTTGCCTGAGCGCCTCATGGGAGTTCTGCTGAGTAATAATGCACAGTGCCAAAGACACTTGTTTCCTCCTCTCACTCCTGCTCTTTTCTTCAGCAAAAAAGAATTTACTTCCTAGATGTACTTTGTCTTCTAAACTTAATGAAGCAGTGCTAGTCTGGAGGGTCCCAGACATTGCCACATCACTGGATCAGAGGCCCCTTTCTCCATGCACGGTCCAAATACTTCAACTTCCCGGCACTTGCCTGTCTGCATCTTTTCACTTCCCAGACGCAGCAAAGGGAGGCACACTGCAGGCTCTAGAGAAATCAGCAGCCAGACAATGCAGTTCAAGCCACTAACAAGTTCTGGCTGTCTGATCAAACCTCTGGCATAGCTGGTGAGACTTCCAGTCTAATTTTGTGTGTTTATGTGAAAATAAAGCATGGTTGAAGTGATAAGAACAAATTAAAGAGGAAGGTAGGGAAGGCAGTTGTCAGAAAACACTTGACATCCACAAATTCCTGAACCAATGGCTGAAATGCATAGAACTCCACTCAGGCCAGCACTGAACATTCATGGAAGGTTTGTGTTAGTGTGCCTTGAACAGTGCAGGTGCTACTTGAATTGAAACTAAATTCATACAGGAAATCACAAAATCCCATTGTTTAGGTAGGCAAGTATGAATGGGGGCTCTTAACACTTCCCTTTTTTCTATGATTGATGCCTTGCAGTTGGATGTCCTGCACAAGTGCTGACACCATGTACAGCTTTTTTTGAGAGCCAAATTAAAACAATAACCACTTCCCCAGCCTGTAAAAAGTCCGCAGGGAACGAAGTGCTGTAATAAATTGAGTAGCAGCAAACACGTCTTAACTGTCAGGTTATAAACAATGCTCATGAAACCTTCACAGCCATGACCAATAAAGGGAAAGGCCATCGCTCTTGAGAGCCAAGAACCATTAGGAAAAAAGAAAAAAAGCTTTTTATCTCGGAGCATTTTCATCAAGATTTCACATTCCAATGCTCCTTCCATGGCCTTACAGATAAAACAAGCAAGATCAGTTCTACTTCCAGTGCTGTAACAGCAAAACCAAGCCACAGATTGCCTGGTAAGGCATTCCATGACCTTGAAACATATTCTGTAGAGCCATGTGACTACTTCACATACATGTCCAATATCATCACAGTTTAGAGCTAAAGTTTTCCTATCACAACAGTCAATCTTCTAATGCACATATGTGCCTTTTCCATTGGAAAGGATTTCTGAACTTTTATACAAATAGGATAAGTGAGCACTTCCATCTTTGTGCTCTTTATGGCAACTAGGGCTGTTTTTCCATACTAGTAGAACACTGCTCCAATTTCATTGCTGCAATCCATGTCTAAAAAAAGTCAAAGTGATCTCTTAGCACAGTCATTCTCCTGGTAACCACGTCCCAGGAGATTTTGCCACTCTTCTGTTGTCTTCTTATTTGGTTGAAAGTTACTGTCCCTTGCCACTGCTACCTTCTTTTCGTGTTATTCTTTTCACCAACCCAATATTTGTAAATTTTTTGTTGCTGAAAAAAGGATATTGCATTGTACATTTTGGGCAGGAGAATAAACTGACAATCTTTTTGTCCTTGAGTAAATTAATCAGGGAAAAAATATTTTTTAAGGCAAGATTAATATAACTTCTTGTATAAAGTGGAGATGCCTTTTGTTCAAGACATTGGATCTTTAATAGGGTTCTATGTGTACATCAGTTGGTCAATATCACTTGCTGCTAGGGTTCAGCTTCTATAAATTCTGAATTGTGCCAAGCAAAGTCTGTTTAATGCCTCTGAGCACAACTTTTTTGAATAGCCTCATGTCATCTAAGAAAAAAAAATATTAAAAAGAAATTACTTTTCAGTCTTTTTCATTGGGTTTTCCCAATGAGGCTGAATGGGTCACCAAGACAAACTAATAACTCACATCATAAAGTAGCTGAAGAGTCTGTTAATTGTGTAAGTTCAGAGCAAAAGCATATTCTGAGAAAATTTTCATTAGATAAAAAAGGCTATTTTATCATCTATTTATGTTTACTAGTATTTGATTTTACTTTATGCCATTTTCCTTCTTTCGGATTGTAGTTTATCTACATCTATTATCTATGCATGCATATTTCAGTCTGTGGAACACCCAATCACTGCTTTCTTTGGTTGTTCTTTAACCATACAACTTGAGTATTTGAATTATATATTATTGTTTTGGAACCAAGAGACAGAGAAAGCCTTAAAAATAGAAGAAACAACAAATAGAGATGAAAGCAATTAATAAAGATACTTCCACTAGTTTCCTTTTTTTTTTTTTTTTTAATTATTTGGCCACTAGAATTGCTGTGGTTGTAATTTAGAGGTCAGCAAATAAAAAAGCACAATGATTACTGAAATAAAATATCCCTGGCAACACTTGATCAAAATTACTGTTTTAAGTGACTTGCCTCTTGCAATATGTATTAGGACAATCTGGATTTGTTAGTCATGAATTTGGAAATTCTTCTGTGAGTAAGAAGAGCTGTTGATTTGTAGTTTTAAACCATTTATGCAAGAGCCATAGAGGCAGACACTGGAGAAATTTTCAGGTTCAATATTCAGGAAAATTAATACCAGATGTGCAACAATCCAAAGCACAACAAGAAATGTTTTCTCAACGCAAAAACACAAAGGTTCAACAGAAAAGCAGACAGACATTCTAACAATCAGAAAGGATTTTTCTTAACTTTCAAATAAAAAATATTCAGAACAATCGAAATCTTCATAAAAAAAGGTATCATACATATATTTGTAATAACTAATAACTAATCTGTAATAACTATAAGTCAGAGTGAGAAAAAAAGAAGTGGAGCAGGTGACAGGATGAGAACTCAAATACATGCATCAACGTAGTGATTTTCTACTCTATCTGGAGCACTTGAAGACAAAGCCATGGGGGAAAATCAGGTACATATTTTGCTTAATAGTACCCTGTCCTGTCTTGGAAACTTTCATCTAAACTCCTTATTCTTTAGCTATTAGTCTGTTCCTGATACTTATTATCTCTACTGCACATTCATATATGAGATTCTTTGGTATATTCTCAGAAATTGTACTTCCACATTACAGTCTGCTTTCTGTACTTGTCTTTGCCTACCCTGTACAAAAATTATCTTCTTCACAATGCAATAACATTAGCAGCTGCTTCTCTTTCTATAATTATGATGCTTTAAATATTAATGCATTTATTACAGAAATCCTCCTTGCAAGGTTATCTAACTTGAGAACAAGTTTCCTTGGAAGCAACATTAATGAGCAGAAGTTAAAAAACCTATTAACTGCTTTCTTAATGGCAAGGCAACTTTTATCACATCTCTGTGATAAAACCTGCCCTCTCCATGTTCTACTGCCTTCCATTCTTGCACTTGGGCTACACCTTTCTTTTTGAGTCAGATATAGAGTAGACTTCCAAAATTACAGGTGCCAGACCTGTAACACTAGTTCTGTTTGTTGTCTCTGAGACAGTTGTTCATAAATTAGCCAAACTAAACTGTGTTGCCCACATGAGGATAACCAAAAAAAGCATCACTGTTCTGTTCACTTAACAGAACCTGGAATGGATATGAGATTACCCCTATATTCAATAGACTAAACCCCACATGGATACACTCAACCTAACCATTTGATTTCTGTAGGAATCCATGCTGACTTCTACAAGAATCAGAGCAGATTTTGGCTTTTCATCTCATATCTGTGCCATGAGCACTTCAAATAAATCTACCAGACAGGGATAAAATGCTTGCAACCTTCGGTCTTAAGTTTCATAGTCTGTCCTTAAGAACACAAAGAGTATAAATTATTCCAACATACTTCTGCAGAGTGAGGCTTAGGTTGTGGCTGGCTGATTTGATCTTGTTCTGGGCCTCCAGGTGGGTCATGCTGTCAGTGTTGACTCCATCAATAGCCACGACAAGGTCCCCCTGGTTCATCTGTGACTGTGCTGCCTTGCTGCCAGGGGTGATCTGTGTGGGAAAAGACAAAGGAAAATGTCTTATCCTGATAAGTCATTCTATATCCAAAACAGCTGAAGAACTTGCCCAGAATTATAGTACAGAATAGATACAGCAAAAAATACACAAATAGACACAACAATAGTTTTATCCATTATTGTATGGGTGAAAAACTAAAATTAATGGCAATTAAACAAATCAAAGCTAACTCACAAAGGTCCAGGACACCATCTACTTCTTGTTACTTCCATTTTGAGAGGTTAAGCCCAGTGTGGTGGTTCCCTTACCACCTATTGTCACTATCTCAAGGGGATAATTATCACTATACAGCAGCAGTACATAAAGATATTTCTCAGAAGCAGAAAATTAATGAACCACTATCCACTGCATGATTTTATTGTATTTTCCCTCCTAAACCCCATTTTTCCCCAAATTAATTAATTTTATTGAAGGGATGGAAAATGAATGTGTGTGAGTGGCCTTGGGCACACTTTCTTTCTTTCATAGCAAACTTTAGAGGAAATGATTCTACTTAACCATACCCATATACAACTGCAGCTCCATTACTAACACAAATTGCTATGTGCCCACCTCACCAACCTGTTGGACCTCATGCTCCAAGGGCCAGCACTCTCAGAAATAAGAAACCACAGTGCTGCAACCACAAGCCCAACAACTGGTCCAGAAGTTCTGTTTGTTCACTGTGGCAAGACATTTTGTTGGCTTCAGTCAGCTTGTGAACTGCATCTTCTCCAAATGGAAAGCACCCTGATCTCAATTTTACAGAGCCTCTCAGCTTCTGTATGGGTAACACCAGTACAGTTCTAAAGCAGAAAAGCCTTCATCCACCATCAGCCAGACAAATTTTAATGAACACACCACAGTTGTCATCTGCTTTCAGCATCCAGTACAGAAAGAGCATGGATATAAGCTATAGGTATTTTTCTTAGAAACTCACTTCCTTACATTCCTCATTAAAAAATCCAAGGATAATCTAAAGTACTACAGCAAAGGCTTGATTCAAAAATTCTGTTCCTTCAGTACAGTGAACATAAAATGTGTTTGATTATGAGTCAAAAGTCCCCTGTGAATTCTGCCAGGCTGACACCATGAAGTCAAATTTCTAGTCACTTATAAAAACATACATACTTACAAAAGACCTCCTTCCAAAACAATTCCCTAGACTGTTTTCTCATGTGCTTTACTGGCAAAGATGAATAAGCAAAAAACCGAAAAAGCCCTTTCTTAACACACTGTTAAAGTTGCTCAGTATTGAGGTCAGAAGTCCAATTGACAGTATAGTCTGACAATGGGAGGTGTCAGTTTATTAGAACACTAGCTCTAGTATCAGGGTGCTCCAATACACAGCACCCTGGATACTCAGACTATTTAAAAGTAAAGATTACTTTGGAATTAGGCACTGCAAACAATACCCAGAACTGATTTGACTGCAAGAGACAAGTTTTAATACCTTTTCATTTGAGATGGAAGCAAAGAGTTCTGTTTTCTGAGTGAAGGACAGCCACAAATACAATGTTCTCATGCAAGCAGAGTTGACTGATAATGGATGACAGTACTATTCCTCAGTGTATTTTCCTGGTGTTAAGGAATTGAGGGATGGGGGAAACATTTTGTGGTAGTTTCAAAGATAGAGATCTATTCTGCAGTCTAATGCACTCTCACAAGAAAAAAAAAAAAACCAAAACCAAAAGATTTGTGTTACAAGCATAGCTTTTCTAACCTGTTATACAAACATGAGCTTCTATGCATTTTATTGACTTGCATTGTGCCAAGTACACAGAATTCAGAAGCCCATAAAGAATATGGATTATTTGTACACCCACATGTACTTGTATAGTTACTCAAAGATCCTTCCCTGCTCAGTCCCACAATATGTTGAGAAATAGAATCTGCAATAGAACAAAAGGTAAAAAAAGGGGAAAAAAGCAAACTAAAGCCAAACTCAGATAAATGAGTCAGACTTGAATTCATCAAGTAGGACACTTCTGTCTTTTTCAAATTATCCTTTTTTAAATAATTAATCTTCACAGATCACTCTTCTACAACATCACTTCTAACCTCCTCATGAAACATACAAGTTCATGCCACAGAATATTAACTGTATGATGCTGGTTTCAAATTATGGGACACTGCCTACCCACACACGTTTTTCTTGTCAAAAACAAAGACTTGTTTCTGAACACCAGCCCAGTTCCTGAAAGTCAAACATCTGCCATCATTTGGGTATTCTTACTCAACACATCTATCTCTCCTTCCACTCTTAAGTGATGCCTCAAATAAATTAAGCCCAGAGAAGCAGAGCTTCCAGAGACAGGATAACACACTCGAGATCTGGAGCTAGTTTAACACAGCTCTAACACACTTCATTCCCTCTCACTTGCTCTGACTTTTGCTTTTAGCAGCCCTACAGGTAAATGCTACACCTTAAAATAATGACACAGCAACTACAACCCTCCTAGAATTAAGAGTTTTAGAGGGAGGGGATGGTTGTAATGAGCGACCTAATTTCACTTCTTCTAAAGGGATATTTTCTGCCTGATATTTTAGAAAATATGACCTAAATGAAAAAATATTAATCACAAGAAGCTCTCAAAGAGAAAGTTTTCAGTAACTCTGAATTTGTGATGACTTTCTAACTTTGCAACACTGTTTCTGAGGCAAGGAGCTCTAGGAGCACCATACTGTGAAAGGAAAACAGTCTCAATCATGGCTCAGTCAGGCCCCCAGGAAATGAAAGGGCTTCAACTTCTTCAACTAAGTATAAGGGTAGCAAATTCTGGGTGGGATTCTTTCACACAATTCTTTTTTTTTAAATTCCAATTTCAGGGGACAGCACACCATTGATGTCACTGTACCTCTAAAATTCAGCTTATCCTTACTTCACAGACAGCAAGACTTGCAAGTATAAAAGATAGAGCTAATTTATTGTATCTGCAATTCAGACAAGTAGTAGATACCACAAAAGAATGACTTCTTCTGATGGTCTTCCCACTGGTTAAAAGCACACTAGATTATTTGGGCCTGTAGAATTTTATATAGAAGGCATTATTAAAGACTGGATGCATAATCTGTATGAAACATGAAAATCAAAGTACAAAATTACATGTATTTTAGTTAGAACCGGAGACACATCTCTGTGAGTGTTCCAAGTGAAGCCACAGTATGCATTTCCAGCAGACATCGAGAGCAGTCAGTAATTGTTGTGAACAAAATCCCAGTGTGCAGATGGAGATACAGGGCACACAGATCCGAAGTGTCAAGGCACATTCAAGACTATCTTGTTCCCATTTCTAAAGATCCAGTTGAAAGGAATGGAATGCAAAGAGTTTATCTTTTATCTGTTGGTATTTTCCTTTGAAAATTCATCTCTGATCTACTAAAACATTTACTAAATATAAATCACAAACAGAGAAGAGATCACTGTGTCTTTCTAATCTTGAGTAAATACTTTCTCTTTAAAAATAGTTTTTGAAAATATTTTTGAAGGACAATTTCTAATTTAACCTTAGAATTAGACTGGAAACCCAGATCTCTCTACACAGCAAATTCTACTTGGCTCTTATATCAGCTTCTCTTCTATTAACAAAAGTAACAAATTTAGAGAAATATACTACTGTCAAGGATAAATATGCATTTTTCAATTTGACAACCAAACCTTTTTCCCTAAAGCAAATCTCTGGGAAACTTCTAGACGGAAGTATTTAAGAAGACCTTTGTAATAATCTTAACTCACTTGCATGGATTACAATATAGCTTGCAGTTGCTAGGTGCTGCAAATGCTTTTATTTAATGCTACAGTGAGACATTCGTCAGAGTTTCAGGGTACAGCTATTTCTGTCAATTGATTTACAAAACCCAATCCAGGGTAACACCAACAGATCTAATTCTATAGTAGTTCTTTAGAGCCTCAAGCCCAAGCACAGATTTTGTCTTGAAAAACCAAGCATCTCACTGCTCTCAGAAAAGCAGAGGAATATGTGCTGCTTCAGAGATGTGAATTTTCAGCCCTCACAAATTTCCTACAAGACAGAGATCTGACTTCCAACATCCCCAGCTTAAAGCAAGTTGGCAGGCTGGAAGTATCACATGTTCCTTCCAACACACTACAGAGAATTCTTATTACGCTCTGTTGTGAGCGGATGGGTACACTGCGTGAATATATAGTACCACAGTGACAGCTGTGCCCTAAAAAAACTCGCCTGCACTGCGTTCACAGTAAATACTACTTAGCAGGAGCTCTGAGAGGCAGCATACAAAGAGCAGCTGCTGCACCACCTTGAGAAATGCACATGCTGCCAGCCAAGCCCCCTCAACTCCACTCCAAAGGGAAGAGACAGGGATCAGGCAGCATTTGAGTGGATGAGTGTTCAAATACTAACGAGAATGCTTGTACAAACAGATGGATGGACACAGTTTTTCTACCCCCAAGGACCTCCTAATTTACAAGGCAGACAAACATAGATAGGAAGGCCTACACAAATGAGAATCTGCTAATATAGCCTGCAGCATTAGCCAGGGCCTCTTCTTTCTCCAGCACTTGAGCTATGCCTGACTCCATACTGACCTCAACCCCAAAATCAACAGTTTATATTTTCTGCTTCTCATTTAAGAACAACATTTCAGAATATCAGATATTCACTAGCATTAGAAATGTGCAAAACCACAGAGAATTAATACCTTCTCCTCCTGAAGATCTCTGGAATAGAAGAAATAATTAAATGTTCTTTCCCATAATCAGAAAATCAGAGACTATAATGTGTTCTTTCAAGAAAAATATTGGACAGAGACGAAGGGACAATATGTTTCCTCTATAGACAAAAGAGCATTTAAATCTCTCCCCATTATATTTATGCAAGTATTTTTTTGCTTAGAAGATTCCAACAAACTCTCAAAGTAATTCTAAGCTCTGAGGCTCTAAGTGCCTGCAAAACAGTGACCTAGTAAGAGACATGCTTTGAGATCCCACTGCAAAACAGTTGCTGAATGCCCAC